TTTTACTGCAGTCTCTAAAGAGAAGTATTTTAGCTGCTGTAGCTGAACCTTTGATTAGTCAACCCGCACCGCCATCACCACTTTGCCACCTGCAGTATGTCACCTACCTACGCACGGTTTTCTCCCTCTCTGGATCTCCTCTTAGACCCACACAATTACCCCGACCTCTAGTCCGGTGTCATGATGGCTGCCTCATCATGTTTCCTGGCAATCCTCTCTCCCACCCACCATTCCCTTGCACTATCCCAGTACCTTCATTGCTTTATGGCACTGTTGTACTCGTATATTCCCCTTATTGATCTGAAACACTATAGCCAAATCCTCCATCGTTCTGTAGTACTCCCCATCCCCTCCAGTGTTTTGTGGCACCATTTCCAATTCCTACTCGTTCTGTGGCATTTTCCGAGAGGGCTATCATTGTTCTGTGGCACCATTACTGCCGAACATAGTTTTATTGCACCTTCCCCAACTCTTATCACTGTCATATTATCCCCAACTCCCCATCATTGTACTATGACAGACCCCGCCCCCAACTCGGCACGTTATTCTGTGGCACTTTTCCAAATGTTACTCCTCACTCTCTGCTCACTAGTACCGCCCAGCAGCCTTCTTAATATTAGTATAGTAGTGTTTATGCGAGAACCCATTGTGTCCCATGTGTGTGTGTGTGTGTTGTGTCAGCATATCACCTGTTATGTTGCTTCTCCTTCTTCCTTACCCACTTTCTCCTACTTCTCCCGTGTCCACCTCGGGATGCGCCTGTGCCCACTTCTCCCCTCTTATGTCCTTGGTCTAACACTCGCCATTTCCTTGACTCCTCAATACCAACATACATCTCTCCGTTTCATGTCGACCCGTGTACACCTCTCGAGTACTTCCCACACCCATTCTTTTATTTTGAGAATTTTATATATATATATATATATATATATATATATATATATATATATGTAAATCACTGTAGTGCATGATCTAGGTAAATGTGATAACCACAAGAAAGAAAACACAAGTTCCAAGCGCTTTCGTGTAATTCACATCTTCAGAGAGGGCAGTTTAGTCTGCTCTTTCACCCTGGCTTGAACTGCTGCTTTCATCATTCTTCTTTATATATATATATATATATATATATATATATATATATATATATATATATATATATATATATATATATATAACGTTCTCTTTCTTTATCTTTAGTATCAACTTTCATATTTAAACTTCATTTTGTGTTTGTTTCAGCTTAAGGTCAGTGGTCACAGTGACAATACATCTCTTTTATCAACGGGACCTTCCATAGTTGCATTTGAGTTTTATGGCGACATAAACACGAACACAACCACCGCTCTTCTCTTCCTTCATTTTATCCTGGTCTCCTCCGCCCCCTACATCATGGTCCTCCTTCATTTCCTCCTTGGTCTCCTCCGCCCCCCTACATCATGGTCCTCCTTCGTTTGCCCCTACATCATGGTCCTCCTTCATTTTCCTCCTTGTTTCCTTCATCACTCATGTCCTCCTCACCCCCCTCACCTTGTCCTCCTTCGTTTATCCCTACATCATGGTCCTCCTCCCCCCCCCATCATGGTCCTCCTTCGCCCCCATCATGGTCCTCCTTCATTTATCCTACATCATGGTCTCCCTCCCCCCACTCATGGTCTCCTTCCCCATCATGGTCCTCCTTCATTTATCTCTACATCATGGTCCTCATTCGTTTGCCCCTACATCATGTTTCCTTCATTTACCCTACATCATGGTCTTCCTTCCCCCCCCTACATCATGGTCCTCTCCGCCCATGGTCTCCTTCGTTTCATCATGGTCCTCCTCCCCCCCCCATCATGGTCCTTCGTTTTACCCCTACATGCAGTCTCTCGTCTCTCCCTTTCTATCTTGCATTGTTTCCCCCACACATCCTCCCCCACATGTCCTCCCCCCCACATCCTCCCCCACACATCCTCCTCCCCACATGTCCTCCCCCCCCACATCCTCCCCATATCCCTCCCCACATATCCTCCCTCCCACATGTCCTCCCCCCACATATCCTCCCTCCACATATCCCTCCCTCCCACATGTCCTCCCTCCCTCACATTATCTCCCTCCCTCTCCCTCCCTCCCCTCATGTATCCCCTCCCACACGTATCCTCCCCTCACACATGTCCTCCTCCCCTCACATGTCCTCCCTCACATATCCTCCTCCCCTCCCACATGTATCCTCCCCTCACACATGTCCTCCCTCCCACACGTATCCCCCCTCCACACGACACCCCTCCACACCCCACACGTATCCTCCCTCCACACGCATCCTCCTCCACACGTATCCTCCTCCTCACATGTATCCTCCCTCCACATCCTCCTCCACACGCATCCTCCTCCTCCACACATCCTCCTCCCTCACATGTATCCTCCTCACATGTATCCTCCTCCTCACTCCTCCTGTATCCTCCCTCCACACGTATCCTCCCTCCACACGTATCCTCCTCCCCCTCCACACGATCATCCCCTCACATATGCACCCTCACACACTCCTCCTCCACACATATCCTCCCACACGCATCCTCCCTCACATGTATCCTCCCCTCACATCACGTATCCTCCTCCACACATCCTCCTCACATGTATCCTCCCTCCTCGCACACATCCTCCCCACACGTATCCTCCCTCACCTCCTCCTCACACATCACATGTATCCTCCCTCACTCCTCCTCACACTCCTCCCTCACACGTATCCTCCCTCACATGCATCCTCCCTCCACACGCATCCTCCCTCCACACATATCCTCCTCCCACTCACACATCCTCCTCACATGTACACATGTATCCTCCCTCACATGTATCCTCCTCCCTCACATGTATCCTCCCATATCCTCCTCCCTCACATGTATCCTCCCTCCACACGTATCCTCCTCCCCTCACACTCCTCCCTCACATGTATCCTCCTCCTCACATCCTCCTCCATCCTCCCTCACATATCCTCCTCACCCTCCTCACACACATATCCTCCCTCACATGTATCCTCCCTCACATGTATCCTCCTCCTCCATATCCTCACTCTCCTCCACACATATCCTCCTCCTCCACATATCCTCCTCCCCTCACATATCCTCCCTCACATATCCTCCTCCCTCACATCCTCCCTCCACACGTATCCTCCCTCCACACCCCTCCTCACACATATCCTCCTCCCTCACACGTATCCTCCCTCACACGTATCCTCCCTCACACGTATCCTCCTCCCTCACTCCTATCCTCCCTTCACCCGTGTCCTCCTTCACATGTATCCTACCCTAATGTCTCCTCCCCTTATATGTATCCTCTTCCTTTACATGTCTCCTTCCTTCACATGTATCCTCCTCCCCCAATGTCTCCTTCCTTCACATGCATCCTCCTCCCCCAATGTCTCCTCCTTCCTTCACATGCATCCTCCTCCTCCGTATTGTTACATTTTAATTAATAGTTCTCCATTTTCTTTCTTAACAGTGTCACTTCGTCTTGGTGGTAATCTTTATGCCTGACTATTCCTCTGGGTCTCGTCTCTGCCGTCTTAAAAGATCTAATCTGTGCAGTTCTTGTGTATTATTGTCATGTTATTTCCTCTTAACTACCCCCCCCTCTCTTTCTCTCTCTCTCCTGTCTTCTTTATTTCTTCTTCTCGTTATTCTCCTTATCTCGGTGGCTAGTGTGTGTGTGTGTGGGGCCACTCCCATCTTTTATTTGTACTGAAGATTGACCCATTACCCCCAAACATCTGATCAATTATACTCCCTCCAGCTCCCCCCGAGTCCCCATGTTACTTTACTAATGATGTAAGTCTGCTCGTGTTTAGCAGATATATAAATTGTTCTTGAAGCTGATGCGCATTTATATTACATAGATTTTCTTACATTTCAGATGAGAGGGAGGGCGATCGTCCTGCTCGCTAGGTTTAAATGCTTCCTTCATACTGAATAAATCCCCCTGATATATTTTGATAGAATTTCAGATTAATTTATATGTGATACAAGTGCGCATTTGCAGAAGGACAGTTAGATTATTTTACCAGTGGCCAAGCCTTTTTTGGTGCGGGCCGCCTATGATTTTGCTCACATGATCATCAGTGTCTTGCCACCACTCATCTTCACATCCTCTACACACAACACTGCCTGCCCACCCAAGTTGATGAAACTGCACCTCCTTTCACTCTTACTTTCCCTCTTCCTCGTTCCCCTCTCTTCTCTCGTTTCTCTGTTCCTGCCAACTTGTAAACCTTGACATAGTCCCTTCCCCCCCCCTCCCTCCCCCCTCTTATTTTCTTCTCTCCCACACCCACCCACCCACCTACCTCCACACACACACACACACACACACACACACACACACTTAGATCTTGCCCCATAAGCAATGTGTAACTGTTGACTTGGTGAGTGTTTTGTGTAGAGGCGCTTTGTTGCCCCACAGTAACCCGTACATCTCATTTGGCATATGTAGCCACTCTCCATACTGCTCACCTATGTTTCATTGTTTAAACTCAGCAGTGGTTGTTACTCTTTCCTTTGTTCTCATTACCTTTAGTTTGCCATACATTAATTTATTAATTTTGTTGTGGTACAGTCTTTAGTGATCTTGTCAATAAATTCCATATTTTAATGTTAAATCTGTTTTTGTTATTTTGTTTTAAGTTTTTAATTTGTGGCCGTGCTTTAAGTTCTATTATTTATTTAGCTTTTTGAGTAACGCAACCCTGGATGTATGAAGAGCAGATTGGATAAACTGTTGCCACTTGCGCCGCGGCGGCCACGTCCGCAGATGGCGGCGGCGGTGGTGACGGCAGCAGAGCCTCAGTACTGCACTACAGTAATGTGTGAGCAGGCGCATTAGCCACTCTTGGCAGAGCAACTGTCTTGGCCTGGATGGTCCTAGTAGTGTCCCTCACCACCAACACCACACCTTCCGCTGCCGTCCACTGCCCGCCGCCCACTGCCAGCCGCCCACACTGACCACACCATCAAACGACTGCTCGTCTCTTTCAGACATTCCTTGGTGTTCCCTCAAGTGAAAACGATAGATTCACTGCCGGAGGAGCCCTCAAATCTTGCCCAAGATATGAAAAGCAAGTTAGTGTAAGTGCCATGACAGGTCACCTGACTCGACTGTCGTGACTGGCTTGACACGCATGTGCTGCCCTGACTCCCACCCACCCCCCGCCCGTCCACTTTACCGTACCCGCCTCAGTTGCGGTGCTGCGGCGGGCGGGTGAGTGGGCGGCGTCAGTGGCGGCGCAGCGTCGAGACCCTCACAGTCTGCTTGGGACATGAGCTTGGGACTGTACCGTACTTTAGAGCAACTACCACTGTCAAACTAACACCACTAACAGCAATCATGAGGCGCAGAGCGGCGGACCACATCGCTTGGCTGCGCCCCTACCTCAACCCCCCACCAAGCTCCCCTCCCATCCTCTTCCTGCCCCCCCACACATCTGACATGGTTTTGTGTCCAACCTGCCCAAAGTATTAATAATTTAATTAAGTTTGTTTAGTTGAGTGATAATGCCCTGTTGCAGTAACAGCCTCAATTACCAGTTGTGATAAACCCAAAGTTGAGTGACCCTCCCCCCCCTGACTCCCCCCTCCCCCACCTACGTATGCCGCCTTCCACACGCGGCTTGACTTCAAATCTCAAGTCCGAGCAAGTGGCAACAAAACCAAGGAAAATCTTTGAGCAGCGGTAGCTACTAATGATTTAGATTTTGGTTTTAATGGGTCCCCGTTGGTGGTTTTCTTGGTAACCACATTAACAACGAGTTAACCGGTTTTCTTAACTTTGTTAAAACTTGTGTTGCATGTTTTGTTATTTCTAGTTGAGTTTGTATCAGTGCATGACTTTATTTGACTTTAGTCTGATGGTGGTTGTGACTGCAGGGTTCCCACTTCCAGGACGCCTGCGGGAGCTGCACGCAGGGGTCGCGATCCTCAAATGGCAACCGGGGATGATGATCCAGACCCAAGGCACGGGCACTGACTAACCTAGTAACGGGGAGGAGGGGTGGGGGGAGGGCGGCCCACCACCATCACCACCTACACCGGCCCTTGTACACTAATGGCCACACCTTCCAAACTCAACTCTGGCCGAACACAGCAAGCCGCTAACTTATTAATAGCCAGTACTGTCTAATATTAAGGGCACTTGTTAGTCACGGGCACCGGTGGTGTGGAAAAAAAAGGTCACTGGGAAAGGGGGGGGGGACTAAGGTAGGAGAGTGTAGGCCAGCGACGAACAGACTGGTAGCAACAGGTAGGTGGGATAACAGTAGACGAGGTGAAGCACACTCACTGACAGTAGATGACTGGGCCATATCCAGGGAGCATAACTGAAGTGAGTGTTCCTTACTCCTAGGCCAAGTGCAAGCTGAACTACCCCTGGCTAAGGCTCTTTGTTGTATTGAGTGGTTATTTTAACTTAATGTTAGTGTTATTAACACGTTATAATTTTAAACTCACTAATGTTGACTAACTTTGTTGAATTGTTGTAGTAGTGGTAGGGAGGTGGGTAGCTTGTAGGAGGAACGAGTTAGGGCCAAGGATCGTCGCCTGCTGACCGGGGCCCTGAAGCTGACCCAAGAAGAGAGATCAAGAGGAGTGGAAGACAGAGGGAAGATGGGGAGAAGTGGGCAAGAGGGGAGAGAAGATGGGTGGGTGGGTGGGTGGGTGGGTAGGCGGGGTGGGGAGGGAGGCGGGGTGACAGAGAAGGAAGGGTGGTGTTAGCCTCATGGTGAGAATAAAAGTGGGAGAGCGAAAATGGCTGATTTGTGCTGTGAATTAAATGACCGAAATGAAAGTACAGGACTAACACTAAATATAAAAATAAAACATTGAGCATGGAGTCGTGTAGAAAAGTATGGAGAGACAAATGATCTAAAAGAACCTAAGGAGTGACAGAAGGCACTTACAGCAGGTGGGTGGGGGGAGATAGGCTTAAGTAATGCAAGGACAAACGTGTGTTACCGCCCAGTAGTGAGAGGTGGTGGTAGTAGGGTGTCGGTGACTGACAGGCAGATGGGTTAAGGGCTATAGGACTTAGTGACTGGCCAGACAACCTAACATTAGCTACATCTTTTGTTTAATTTTAAAATTTAAAGAATAGGATTTTGTATAGTTCCTCGTCAAGCAGAAGCATATGTGTAAATTTAGAAAAACAAATCAAATTTAGACGTAAATTTAGTTTATTGAATTTAACATTAAACATTTACACATGTGACTGTCTTAGAATAGGCTAAATTATGTACTATATACTGGCAGTAATGACAGAGTTGATGCTGGTTAATGTTTTAATATTAGATGATGCTGGAGTAAAATTATCTCCCAAATAATGCCGGTAATGATCATAACCCAGTGTAGAAGTTTACCTCCTGGCTAGAGGAACATTGCTTGTAAATTCTTTAGATATTTTTTCTAGGAGGTAGATGTAAAGTAGTAATGATAAGGTGGAGGGCTAGATAGTTGGTGATTGGTGGAAGGTTTGTAGTGGTGCGTGGCTTGCACCAAGCATCCCTGCTGGCAGCTCCGACTGGTGGCACTGGGGAGGTTACACCTGCGACTAGTGGCCACTAGCGGCCTGACGAGCATGACACGTGCACCGGCGCATCTGGAGCCTCCACTGTTAGTCCCTACCTACATCTGTGCATCATTCCTCCCGTCACTAACAAGATTATGAAGTGACAGCTGCAACTAAGAGGGAGCAGCAGGCTCCAGGCGCACCGTGCACCGGCATGGGTGGAGGGATGACTGTACCACGACTACGTCACTTTCGTCATATCATCATAATTACAGCCGCTTCAATTTGAGAATATGCCTTAAATAAGTTTCATCATATTTGCAATACTTTTTAAAAGACTCACCCAGATTTTCCTTGTATATATATATAAGCAGGCTGTTTGAGTGTTAACAAAAAAGAGTGGTAGTGTGAATGGGGTGGTGGGTGAGTGCCACGAGTTGTGGTTTGATGCTAACTGGGGATGGTGTTCTCCGCAGGTATTCCCCCGGGTCGGGTGATAACCTGCTGGGGAACTCCCTCCTCCCCGGCAGTGCCCTCAACGGTTCCGGTTGGTGCATATTCGTTTATAACCTAGCGCCAGAGACCGAAGAGAACATCCTGTGGCAGCTTTTTGGACCCTTCGGTGCCGTGCAGAACGTGAAGGTTATCCGCGACCTACAGACCAACAAATGTAAGGGCTTTGGCTTTGTCACCATGACCAACTACGACGAAGCCGTGGTCGCCATCCAGTCTCTGAACGGCTACACGCTTGGCAACCGTGTTCTCCAAGTTTCGTTCAAGACCAACAAGCACAAGAGTTAAGGTGGGCCGCTACCCGACGTCCGGGCTGTGGTGGCGGTGCTGCAGCCCGGGGGCGCCACAGCTGTTGCCCTCTGCGGGCAGCAGCACAGGCGCTGCCCGCCACGTCACTCGTCTCCTCCCGGTGGCGGGTGTGGTCCACACGGCCCCCCCACGACGGCGTGGCCCACACCATGGGGGTCATGTGCTAGTCAGGTCCAGAGGACCCTGGGGTGTCCCACTCCGTAACTGGCAGCAGTAAAAGCTGTAGCAGCGACAGGAATGTCTGTAGCAGCCACGGCAGGGGCTACCGGCGGCTGAGGTACACAGCCACCACCAGCCTGGCCCCCTGCTACCCGGACTGGGCCCCCACACCCCCCCCGCCGCACTACATGTGAGGCGCCCTCGCGGGGAGGTCGTTCTGCGCCCGCCCCCCGCCATCCAAATATATGTATATTAGAACGTACTTACTACAAACAATTTATCAAGAGTCATATGATCTGATTATCCCAAAGCAGAACTAGTCGGCTAAGTGAGGATGTATCACAAGGTGCTAGTCGCACTAAGGCCAGTAGTGGGCTCTGTTGAGCGCCACTCACCGCTGATATCATTAATACTGTAAGTTGTCAAGTTGTCGAGTCCTCAAAACCTTGTGTGAATGGGTTTGCGCTGCTGGAAGTGGGTGTAGGCAGGCCCGTGAGCGTGGGAGGTGTGGGCGTGTGTGTGTGAGCATGTACCACGCCCACCCCCGCGCCACCCTGCCTACACACACCAAGCACGCGCTCTTATTTATTGATATTTATCTCATATTTAAGGCTAAGTGTATTTTTATTGTCTTTACTAATGTACACTTAAAGAAATGAGTGTAACGGAATTATTTTGCCAGTCTGTGGAAAAATAGTTAGTATTTTGTTTCTTACCTTGTCAAGGAAAATAGTTTAGTATTTTGTGTTTATTTACCTTGTCAATAATGAGCAGCAATAGAATCTCACTTTTTCTTTTAGGTTGTGTTCTTGCTTAAAAGTAAGCAAGTTTTCTAGTCTTTATTTCAAGTCAATTATGTATCGTAGGTTGATTTTCCTAGGTGTAGTTTCACGTTTTTCAATAATTTCAATGTGAAAAAAAGGTTTATTTCTTGTCTTTTATGATTGTCACATTTTCTTTATTTCTGTATACACCAAATGTCAATCACCATTTTAGTTCTGAATGGCTGGGAAATAAATTTAGTTTGTTTATTTGAGTTTGCCTTTTTATTTAGTTGTCACTTTATTTGGCCCCTTTTAGTTCCCCACTAACACGTTGCACGGCGAAGCTTACGCACGGGTCCCTTAGTTGTTCACATGTGTGTTTACAGCACCAGTAGGGGGTGGTGCCACCCAGCCGCCCGCACCACGCCCGCTCCTGCCAAGTTAATAAGTGGGCGGACTCAGGCTGACACTGGCGGCTGTGAGGGCGGGCGGCTGGGTGACAGGATCCCCGTCCTCTGCTGCCACCCATGTTCCTCGCCGCACCCACCCGCCGCCCATTGCATGCCGCCCCAGCAGGAGTAGCGAGCGTGGCATCGGCGAGGGCGTCATGGTGGGCACATAACCAACCGTTGCGTTGAGTTGGTCGTCTTGGTTTGCTTCTTGGGACTTGTGTTTTGGGTTTTTGAGGATAAAACCGCGCAAGTTAAGCACACAAAGTACTGGTTGTCCTCGAGCCGTGGTCCTCGAGCAGGTGTCACAATAAAGACTACTTAACGATCGACCCTTCTGTACTAATCTGCTGTCAAGGTAAGGATAAGGGAAACTTCCATGCAAACCTAAAGATTATCTTGAGAAAATGTGTCTATTTTTGTACAGAAATTTAGATAAAGAACCCTAATAACATTCCTGCATCAATCGATATAAGTCAATAATAATAATGATAATGATAATTAATGATTATTATTAATATTATTATTATTATTATTCCTGCATCAATCGATATAAGTTAAGCATATGTAGATGGCAGTGTTGTGATTCGAGTTCCGAATTTTGCAGTCTGATTTTGAATCTCACCCTTCGCGCACCCTATTTGTAAGGGTGACTTTTCTGAAGCACATCAGATTATTCAACCCTACATTTCACTCAGTGTCAGATGTGTATGTACGGGTGATATTTTTCTACCGAGATTGTAGTCTTCGGAACTCCTCTTTATATACCCGCCGAAGCACCCGTTAAGAACAGACACGGTGGTTCTTCTGTTCATAGAGGGTTTTAACAAGTTTTATCAGTTTTTTATATACAGTACCAAAGGCTAGTTGTCGGCACTTGTCTATAATAATTATGTCTGTGGGGCTATAATTATTAAGTGGTTGAAAGCCCTCTTGGGAAGGCCAACAAATGTAACACACATGTACCCAATTTTAAACATCAAGGAAGCAAGGACATACAAAAAGTAAAAAAAAAAAAAAAATTGAGCAAAAAATATCTTAGGGTCTGGAAGGCAAAGGTTTGACGTAGATGGGTGCCACTGTTTTGGGTTTCTTGGTGTACGGTGCCAAGATTTAGATAAGGATGGTGTGGATGCTGGTCTCTCTAGGCTGGACATGTAGATGGTTTGTACTCTGGGGACTGTTGCCTATGAGGTAATTACAGTTGTTGTTAGGACTGTTGAAAAGTAGTTTGTGAAGGTATTTTTATGCTGAGAATATATATGAAAGATTGCTATCACCCCCGTTCATATTATCCCTCTATGAATGAATCAACGAAATAGATTAATATTGATAATGGTACTTCTTGTTGAATAGATTTGATGTTAATGAAGCGCAGGTGAACAGATACATTCCTCTTTCCGTCACAAATATTTGCGTTCTAGTCGACTGCCCCAAAGGTGACTCGCGCGAGGCTAGGCGGCGGTGCCACACGGGATAGGTGGTGGTGGGTAGGGGCCACTATCCCCCCAGCGGTGCCTCCCTCACGCTCTCACCACCTCTACCACCACCCACTCACTCACTCACTTGCTCGCTTGCTCGCTCGCTCGCTAGCTCTACTACTTAATCAACCCTCACCAGCAAAATGAATTGTGTTGCTTCATTTCAGGGCAAGGAATTTAAGTCACAAATCTTAGCATTAAAAGCCTTTGCTCACGGAACTGCAGGGATATTTTCGGTAAGCAACAATTAAATGTTAATGGAAGTAAATTTGTGGGGGAATTGGCGGGTTGTGAGTGGGATGTGAGGTAGAGATGGGCGTGAGGGAAGTCCTGAGGCTGATGTAACCACGCCCACGCCGCCCGCAGCACCCGCCCGTCGGCCACGCTGCCTCCCTCAATACATTTTTGCGGGAGTCAGTACCCACAGACTTTGGTTTCAGGATTTATTTATTAAGATGGTAAACACGTGTATTGCATGATAAATCCTATACTCAGTGTAACCAAAGGTGCATTAACAGTTGGATCTCAGAATAATGTTCGTTCAAAGGAAAAGTTGGGCGCAGGTGTAAGTGTTGGACGGTTGATAGTTTACCTGCTCAGGCGGAGTGTTTGGCCAGGTGGGCCGCCCCTCTGGCTGGGGCCGTGTTCCTGGTCAGGGGTGCGGCCCGCTGTCCACCACCGGACCGCGCCACAGAGTGAAGGACTTTACGGATGCAAATTCCCCGGTGCCGCCCTCCCCTAGCGGCGCCCCTTCACGTGGCTGGCAGTGTGGCCACCCCCGAGTAGGCGGCGGCGGACGGGGGTGGGCGGACACTGCCCTAGTAACGCGGGCGGTGCAGCGAGTCGGAGCCGTCGCCCCTCTGCCACAAGCAGTGACTATGTGGCGCGACTGGTGGTGGTGGTGCGGCACTCCGACTTCGCTCGCTGCCGCACACGTAAAACCCAGTCTGTCAATGTGTTTGTCGATTACGATGCATTCAGTTTGCATTTTACCGCGTATCTAGTATCGTAATTTATAATATATTATTGTATCTATTTGTCATCTTCTTGTATATTATTCAAGTCTAGTTTGAATATTGTTCATATTATTATTCCTCTTAGAAGGGAGCATGCGGAGTCTCCTACTCGCCTCCAGATTGTGTACCCAACCAAATTGGTTCCCGGGCGATGGTGGGGGCGAGGGCGCGCGCGTGGGCGGGACCCGTCGATAGCACAAACCACCCGCGCCTTGGGCCGCCCACGCCGGTTCCCGCCCGCACCATGGCCCTTACAGCCACACTCCGCATGTCTCCCAACACTTGGATTTATTGTATATGTAATGTAAACCTTTTCTCCTCTTTGTGTGTTGTAGCCTACTAGGTTTAACGCCACACTCCCACTCCGGCTGACGGGCCCTGCACGCCGCGTCACCCGCAGGCGTCACCAATGCTGCCCGCTACGCCCGTCTTGGTGCTTGGTTCACGCCGCCCGCCGCCCACCAGTGCTGCCCTTTCCGCCCCCGGCACCGCAGCTCGCATCGTCCCCTCACGCCGCCGCCGCCACTACCTCCGTGACAGTGGCGGCGATGGCTGGCGGACGGGCGGGCGGCGAGGGTGGGGATGGGAGGGCGGCCGTGGCGGGTGCGTGTCTACGTGCGTGCGTCCTGGAGGGAAGTTCTCTGGTGCCACGTTGTTTCGCAAGCTCTCACTCAATCATTCCATGTTCTCTGTGTCTGTGTTTGTATTGAGTCTAAACTGCAACTTGTTAACGACTTTGGGGGTCTAATCCGAATACCTCGACAACAAATGATGCAATAATGTCTTTTATCCGACTCTTATTGTAGAGTAGTCTATGAAGATTATAATAAAAGTCATCCAAAGAGAAGTAGTGGTTTCAAATCTAAATTTTTATTATAAAACGCCTTGGGACACCATCTCTGGCACAACTATTTTGTAAGTGTTACAGATGAATTTTTGAGCAAATACCGCTGGGGATGGTGACCCGAGCCTTGGCCGTATGTTTCCACACCCGCCAATTCTTGATTTGCCACGTGAAGTACATGATGATAGTGTCGGGCAGCCGCCAGCTAGCGCGCCGCCTGGCACGGGTGTCCGCCGCGCGCGGCCGCGGGACCCCGGTCACCCTGGTCGCCGCGGTGACCAGCCACGTCACGCAGCCACCTTTACTTTTCTGCCCGTTAAACCAGGCAGGACTTTGTTGGTGTTAGACTGGCCATTCTAGTTACATATGCAATTGTTTACCAGCCCTGCCGTCACCAGTCCGTTGTGGTGGGGAGCACAGGCAGCCTCACCTAGCCTCCCTGCGGCGTCACCGCACCACCCGTTGTTGACCCACCCGCCCACCTACGCCACCCATCCATCTGGCCTGGATAGGTGGGGGCGAGGGCGGGCGGGCGGCCCGCACCGGCCGCTCATCTTGGCTCGGGGGCCTGACCACCGCTGGCCCGGGCTGACTCAGTTGCCGCCTGTAGGCGCCACTTTGGTTGTTGTGTTGCCCCCGAGTGGGCGGCAGCCAGCTCTGCCGCCCACGCCATGCCCCGCCACATGTCATGGAATGGCCACCTCCTTCTGTACTGTTCAGCTTCTGTAGAGTGCCGCCGCTAGGTGTCTGTGTGTATGGTTTACATTACCTCCGGGCGTCGTACGCGCTGCCCCCCGCCCTGGCACCCACCATCACCACGCCTGCGCCGCCCTCACCAGGCCATGCGCATGGGCGGGGACAGCAGAGCACCCACACCCGGGTTTTGTCTCCTGACATCTTTAGCACGTAAGACTTTTCTCCTGATAATTATCATTCTTCTTATTTAGAGTAATAATCCGATATACAGGCATATAGTATGAGCGCTTCTGTATAAGTTACCGTAGTCTAACTATTAATATTATTATATTTAATGTGTCATTAGTCTATCTGTTTGCTTGTTTAACTTGTCGAGTGTAGAGCCATGGGTTGGATTTTGGTTATTTTGGTCACATGTTCGCAAAGGAAATTAAAAGAAAATCCAGATGACATATTTGTAATTTGAGATATGAAGTAAGAAATAATTTTAGCAGAGCCTACGAGGACCCCCGAGACAGCCCGCCCCCGCGCGCGGCCACGAAGGTATCATACTGCTGCCCTACGCCCACAACTGGAATGGCCAAACTCTCTCCCATCGACTTTGGTTTGAATACTGTACTGCTCGTATTACCCAAGTACTTAACCATTGGTTTTGTCGTGTATTTGTGTTCCAGCAGTCTTAGACACTAAACAAAGTTGTAGATCATAAGTTCTTTGCCAGTTCATGTAAGTTCCCCCTTCAATTTTCGCTGGGATCCGGTCTCCGTTATCTTTGAGTTGTCAGTCGCTCTTGGAGGCGCGCCGACCGGCCGAGCCTCTCCTGTTCCTCTGCCTCCTCCACTTCCTCGCCCACCCTTTGTCTTCTTTCTTTTTTCTTCCTCCACTTTCTATTTGTCATATACCTCTTTAAAACACCCCCTCCCCATCCCTCCTGACCCCTATCCTGGTCCTCCCCCTCCTCCTGCAAGGTGCCCCAAACTTTGCTCTGCAGCCCAAAATGCCACCACCACCCGCGTTCTTCTTGCCCTCATGTTTCCTGTCACTCGTAATGAGGCAATTGTGATTTTGGCAAGGACCTGAACAATTAACCAAAAAGTTGAGCAGGGAGCTTTCCACCGCTGTTTATTTATTTACCGATGTTTTAGGCCGCGAGGGTTGGTGCACTGTGGGTGAGGGCCGCTGGGGGAAGAGCGAGCTGGATCATAACCCCCAGCAGGTGTTGTTGTTTTTTTAATAATAATAAAAATAATTAGAACCAACGTGCGCGAGCACCCTCCCTCACTAACCCTTTGGTCACGGGGTGCCGCCTCCCTTACAATTCTCATCAAGTTGGCTAATTCACCAAAATATAATAATAGTAGTAAAACCAGCCCCAAACAGTGCATTAAAAACAAACATGTGATATTGGCTTGATGGTTTTGCCTGCCAGGTGAATGTATTTTTTAATAATAAGTTGTTGGCCGCTTTGGTCCCCAGAGCCCACCCCAGTTGCACAACCTCAGGCTGAGCTGGAGAAGCCCCTGACCAATTTTTGTACACAGCGATGCAGATCGATCTTGTTGTCGTTTCCAAAGGTAGTTTTGGTTGTATTGCAATATTTGTACTTTTCCATGTTGAAACCTTAAACAATAAATTATTGCAAGACATGTT